TGGAGTCGGACATTAACTTGAACAAGAGTATCCTCCATCTTGTGGAATAAGCTATACACCTCTTCCTGAAATTGTAACAGTGCTTGTTTGGTCTCTGAGTGCCAGGCAAGTTCGGCTTTCAAGTAGCTGACTTCGTAGGCCAAGTCCTCGACCTGCTTTCTCAAGCTTCTTGGTTGCATTTTTGATTTCTGAAGGCGGGAAGGAAGGCGCTCAATATTTGAAGAGGTGCCACCGTGTCGTAAGATCTCATGGTCTTGAGGTGTTACTTCCTCCTCAATCGCGTACAATGGGCGACGTTGATAGTGAGCGTTCATTTTAACATTTAAGGCCAAAAGATGGTGGAGGATGTGAAATTTGAGAAGGCCTATTTTGGTCTTTACAACGGGTTTGAGGCACTTGGCCAGAATGGAGAACTTGTTATATAAAGCTTATAGCTTACTGGAAGAAATGGGCCGCTCGAAAGGTCATGAAAGCCCCTAGACAAGCTGACAAATTTCTTGGAGCATGTAGATTTTGAAATGTTAAGGCATGATCACTTCTGCATTGGCTTCTCTATGTAGTTGGGCGTCAAATTCTCGCAAAATCATGCCTACTGCGTGGCCCTGTTTTGAAAAACCTAGGAATGTATGATATTCACTGGGCAGACTCAAATTTGAATACATGAATACACACGCGCAGGCAAATATACATACATACAGGAAGCGGAAGAAGGATACTACTGAATCCCTTCCATACCGTACATTACCTCTTTTGCCAAAGTTTGATCCGGCCTATCCAGGAGCTGGATGTCCCCTTCCACCGGTATTTCAGCTTGAAGAGAAACATCGTTGTATGCGTCCGCTGCCAGAAATGTGTTATCCCCATCGCTCCCATTAGTCGATGAGCAGCAGCCGAAAGTGGTCCGTATTGTCTCTTGAAGTGTTTCTATAATTCCTTCCTTGAGCTTGATCGTCATTTGGAGTTCCCTAATAGTCTCCTGGTTTTTCATGTTTTCCAAGCATATGGTGAATGCGTCGAGTGGTCTATCCTGGGAATGCTTTGCTGCAGACTCCGTTTCCACGAGAGATTTCACTAGCAGATTATTAATAGTGAATAGGGTTATGGTGCATGATTCCAGCTCTTGAGATTTTGCTCGTTCTGTGGCCAATTCTTGCTGAATCATGTTCATATCTCCGGAAGCCCGCGCAGCACGGGCTTCGAGAAGACCATTCCTCCATTGCAAATCTGCTAGTCTTTCCTCTAATTGACGGCAGCAGCATCGTTCCTGCTGGAGGTGGGAGTGATATTCGTTGCATCGGAGTTCCAATTGACTCTGGTATGCTTTGGACGCTCGTTCACGCTCCAGAAATTCCTTAGTTAGCTTGGAGATATTCTGTCTGTCGAACTGTTCGTCTTGAGTGACCTTTCGATTTGTATGTAAGCAAGGACTCCAGGATACAGATTTGGGCTCTGTGCGTACCGATGGGAACCCGCTATGGGAAGGCAGTGAATTTTCCATAGTGTTGCTCATGTTTTCCCTATTTCAGGTGCAGAATATGTCGCTTTAGGTAATTAGTTGTACAAAGTAGGCTTCGGTACGGAATATTTATTATGTGGGACGGCAATTATAAAAACAGGCTTTCCCAAAGCTGAAGGGTGATGACCGTACAATTACCATTTCTCAAATAAATTTCATCCGGTAGACCCGCAGGATAAATTACAATGGTACTAGCTCAGTCCATAGCCGAGATTTTCTTGAGCGTTGCATGGGCCGCCAAGGTTACCCATACCGCGTAATATTACTTTATTTCATTATAAGAAGTGGGTCCGTGAATAAATTACAATGATACCACACTAAAATGTAAATAGCCCACCAGATGCTGGCGTTTGCATGAAACACATGCATAACCTCTGAAGCTAATTTTATTTGGAAGAATGGGCGGCAATCACGAACACATCCGTCGATACCCCGAAAATGGACCTTCCACGAGTTATAATATGAATTTAATAGGATATAGAAGATCAGTAATTTTTCGCTTTACCACATATTCACTTTGTAAGGCTGAGGATACGCTACCATTATGGGGAAGTCGAAGGCAAAGTCGACAAACACTACACCGAAGCTAGGTTCGAGGCTATGAGGAATCCTGACAAAAGTCCTTCTAGACAACTATCTACCATGAATCGGCCTTGGAATGGAGTCTAGGCGTTATATATCCAGGCTTTACATACTTCCAGCCCTTATTCTAGAAGAGAGAAGGAAAATCCACTCCCATGTATACTAATAGTCTTTTATTAGTTCGACTGTAACGGTATAAGAAGAAACAGAAACATAGAACAAATAGATAAATGAACCGTGGGTCCACAATCCTCTCAGCTGCTGATAGCAGTGCCCATGCCTTCTCCTTCACTATCGTAGGAACCCATCAAGTCGTCAGAATCACGGTGTCTCGAAAGACGGGCAAGTAGATGATGAAATCTCCGACAGGCATCATCCACACCTAAACTCATGGTATTTACCCGGTCATTTTCCTTGTTGAATGTTTTGGCAAAGTCATGCAACCACTTCGAATAGTTGTCCATCCTGCTAGGAAGTAGCATCAATTCGTCAACAGCGTCACCAATAGAGCTGACTCTTGCTTCCAGGTTGTTTACCCTCTCCAGTAATTTATTCACCTTATCGTCTGTATGTGCATCATTTTCTCGGTTACGTCCCTCGTCCACACCTGTATCTCTTCCATGTTCGACTTCTTTGGAGTTCTGGCTTATTTTGTTGATTTGCGACTCCATATTTGATAACTTCTGGAACAATATGTCCCTGGTGCGTTTATGAATTAGCATTGTGATAAATAGGGATACAAAGGACTAGCTTACCCTGTTGTAGGGCGACACGGCATGCTGTTCTGGGAAAGGCTGTGGGATAAGTCAGTCAGACATCAGCCGGTACCATCGTTGGACATGCTCACGTTGCCCCTTGTCCTTGTGAATCGTAAAAACTGTTATAGATGCCCCTAGACACGGTCTCCTCTGTCCGGTGGGCATTTCGGCGCGGTGATGGAACAATGGGCGGACTGCGTTGGGCTGCCAAGATATCATCCACCGCAACAGCAGATGTATCTTGGTGGCGCAACGCCTCCCTAGTTATAGGGCTATAGTCTAGGTTGTCAACGCCCGTATCTTGTTCAAAGTTGTATGGGAACTCAGGAAATGGGTACATTATGAAAAGTAATAAATATAGATAAATGAAACCAGTTTGCATAGATCATATGTCCCTTAGAGGTAACGGCCGGCGCTTTATACTGCTGCCGACCCGATCACTGAATGAGGTAAGTGCTTTGCCTCTCATTCTAGACTAGAATTTACCCCGGTAGGATGCTAGTTATCACGGTATCAATTGCTCTAAGCGGAGGCAAACTTACAAGAGCAGACCGCTGTTCTATTGTGACATCCTTGGTGAAGAGATAGGAAACTGTTTCTGCCCCAACCCTGAAGTTTATTTAATCTCACTGAAAATAACTATGGTTTGAATACATCTGCGATGGTGATGACGGTGAGGTATGTTAAAACACTCTAAAAATGGAAATAAAATACAATTGTATTTACATTATTTGGTATCTATATACTATCAGTATCTTATCTTAATGATTGCTCCAATGAATACCCTGAAACAGAAGCGAGACATTGATCGATTGTTTCGACCCCTGGTGCCAGCAAACTGCCATCTAATTAGACAAGCGTGTAGTTAAAGGATAATCGCATAGCTAGTGGTTATAGATTTATTTCCCATTGATAAATTAGGGTGGTCAAACAAGAAACCTGCCTCGTAGTGAAGACGATAGATAAGCTGCACTATCTGCTCAGCTCAGACGACAGTAAATAAGTTCTGAAAAAAAAAGAAATTCAGTATGCGTCCAAGAAACGATAGTAGCTGGCTCGATGTCAGACACGGCGGGGATGATACTTTTGTTGTCCAGGACCACGGCCGATTGACGCAATTAATTTCTGAATTGCCTCGATCAAATCATCAATATCCTCTACTATCAGTTTTCATTGGTAATAAGACCAAAGATGTTGCACTCCAGACAATCTTCCCCCATAACAATATTCGAAGAACCCGGTCAAAATCCAGTATCGGTCTGCGGTACGATACAGCCTCCGTTGGCAGCGACAATCCGACCCTATTCGCCGATGGAGATATTAATTCAAACAGGGAATGCAACGATCCCATGCCAGGGGTACATGACTATTCGGTCACATGGGACGTTGATAACACTAATAATGCATTAAAACTGCTCTATGCTCATCTGTTATTTATCTTCGCTGATGTCGTGTGCATTTTTGCCGATGACTTCCCTGATATTGCGTCAGTGGCTCAGTTCTTGATCGATTGTATTGAGTCTGGTTCACAATCGACACTTCCTAGAGTGGTCCGACCTCGGGTACTTGTGGTTCTAGCAGATTATCCGGACCAAGCCATTCAAGACGGTTCTGCGGTCGAAAGTTTCTACCAGAAGCTACACGCAGCTGGCCCCACTCGCCTCTCCGAGCCATTCGCATTTATAAACCTTGTGTACTTGGATTTCAATCATTCTGAGCAAACCAGATACGACCGATTGCGCGTATGGCTGAAAATACAGAGCGATGATATTAGGACTGTCCGCAGGGTAAACTGGGCAGAGTGGAACACATTACAATTAAACGCTTTTTTCCGGTCGGCACTTAGACAGTTATCGTCGAATGACAAATTCCCGTTTAATTTTGTGAAAGCATCCAGGGAAGAAAATCCCGTACCTGCCGGACTGAGCAACCACATCTTGCACTATATGGAGGTTGGCACTCGGCAAGGATGTTCGCTGGAGACCTTACTTTCAAGTATGGCGTCTGCCTTGATAATGGACCACTATGTGCCTGATATGATTCGTATGACTTTCCCCATGTCTCTCATTCCCGGCCTCTGTCTCCACAATTTTTGAACTTTTCCCTAATCAGAATGTAGTGATGGAACCACGGGCCGTCCTACGAACTCTATATCGTCCCGCATTCCTCCAGGCGTTCCGTGATTACAGGGGGCCGAAGCTCCCAAGGCCAGTTGCGATGTTGATCTCTGGAGTGGAGCAAGAGTTTGTAAGACAGTTCCAGTTGCTACAATCTACTGGACAGTCATCTCTAGATTTTCGACGTTGCCAACTTTTATCAATGAGCGCCGAATTAAGTAAAATACAATCGGACCGAATCTGTTTCTACTGCCTAGTTCGTCCCGCACAACATTCCCAGGCGTGTGGCCATACGGTTTGTGATCTCTGTCCCCAATTATTTGGAGAACCAGCTCTAGACGCAGAGTATCGTTTTACCATGTCGATGTGTCTACTGTGCCAGTCACAAGCTACAGCCGTGATCGACGTACTTCCGCCTACTATGAACCCAACTGTATTGGCCATCGACGGTGGGGGTGTCCGGGGTGGTATCCCGTTGGAGTACCTAATACTGATTCAAGAAAGGCTAGGTGTGGAGTGTCGATTGGTCGACTTGGTAGATGTATCCGTCGGATCAAGCTCCGGTAAGTTTGCCCCTGAATTAGCGTGTCCCAAACTCCCGGGTCGGGCTGGCCCACAGCTGATAACAAATTGCCGTTCTCCAAATAACCCGAAGTGGGGCAACGTTGTTAATGACAACAGGGGGCTTGCTTGTTCTAGGCCTGATCGGCATGGAGTGGGATGCACCCGCCTGCTCCCAAACATTTGATCTTCTCGCGCGGCGTATTTTCCGTGAACGCCGACAGCCAGTAATATCTTGGTTGCTGCGCTTGGTATTGGGGCGGGATTCGCTCCTTGGGAATATCCCGAAATGGCTGTCCTGGTTTCTCCATGATAGCTGCTACGACCCCAGAATCTTTGACATCAGCCTGCAGGAAGCATTTAGCGGAAGCAGGCGTGTCTTTGATCCAGTCGGCGAGCCCTCACAATCACCCGTGCATTCCAAATCTAAGTTTGGAGTTATTGCAGCGAGTATTGCCAAGGATACTAGATCCTTCGTCTTTGGTAATTTTAATGCAGTTGACTGGTTTTGTAAAGATCATGGTAAGAGCGCTCTACTTTACGCGGAAGATGCCCCAACTGACGCGCTTGTCTGTAGGCTACGAACTATTTCGGGCCGAAACGAGGAACGCTGAGCCATTCATGTGGGAAGTGTAAGTTGCCTTCAAATGCCAGAACTGTTATCTCAATCCTTACACAGCACAGCGGGAGGGCTACAGCTGCAGCTCCATTGTAAGTAATATACGTTTTTCTTTCCCCTGCCGCGTCCCTATTCCAAAATTTCTAATAAGGCTGGCTAGCTACTTTTCCACGGCCCATTTACGCCACATAGGCTCATTTCAGGATGGGGGGTTGCAAGATAATTTCGCGGCTGGTATTGCCGGCAGACTGTGTCGCCGGATCTGGCCCTCCAAGGCGGGTATTGCAAGACTAATTTCAATGGGCACCGGCGATGCTAGCCCTCCTACCGACCGTTCGCCCCACTTTCGTCATGTTTTTCGAGACGGCTTTCTCCGGAGAGGATTTGACGCTTTCATGTCCAACTTGGGTACCACATCAAAATGGCTGCAGATGGTCGAACACTTGGATAGTGCTGTCAGACCCGACTATATTCGGTTGGATGTCTCTCTGAACGACATCCCATGCACTATTGATGACGCTGAGGCTATGGATGATTACCGTAACCTGGTTATTCTCCAACCAGGTAGCGCCCGAATGGCCGGTGAGGTAGCAACATCTCTGCTTGTTGCTCGCTTCTTCTTTACACTGGAAAGTCATTTGGAGATTGAGTCTATTGGGACACATATCTGGTGTCACGGCACCATTCGATGCAAGGGACCAATCAAGGCTGTTGTAAGGGCCCTCGAGCGAATGCACTCCGAGAGGGTCGACTTTGTCAGCGATTCGGAGCATCTAGGTGCCTTTGGTGGTGACGACGATGTATGCCGCGCCTGTGGTCGCTACTCAAAATCTGTCTCCCTGTTCCTCCAACATCCTAGTGAGGTGTTTAACATCTACATGCGTATTAATAAACATCCAAAGTGGAGAATTAGCGGTTTCCCGGCTTCCGCGGTATCCATTAGTGAGGCCCAGCAACTAGAACACCCATTTGGCCGATCAGACCACGGTCAACCAATTAATACACCGTGTGCCTTATGTGACGGCCTAGCCAATCCATTTCGAGGAACCCGCAGGAAGCGCACTTCTATGATGTCCATGGAGGAACAGGGGAGAAAGCGAGCCCGTGTGGTGGGTCAAGCTCAAGTTTACACTGCAGGGAGTTAATTTTGGAACGTGCCTGCAAGGATCTCCAAAACGCTTATGACCCCCGTGGTACTTTTGTTTCCATTTACTTTTTCTTTTCCTGATATTTCTGATCCTTGATTAAATTTTCCGCAGTGTGTTTTTTTGCCATTGTCTTGTACTCAATTATATTTTGTATTTTACGTTGTATTTTATCCAAACTTTTATTCCTTCTGTTCAGTTTCGGTTTTTTATTTTTAGTTTTACTTTCTTTTTTATTACTGCCTTTCAGATTCAGTCCCACATCAATAAAAAACGACTCGCGACGCTAGTGCTTGAAATATCAATCCAAAAATATAAATTTTCTTCTCCTTCCACTGGTATTAGAATATGGATTTTATAAGTATTTATTTATTTCGGCCGGTATAGTCTGATGAATGTATCAACGTCAAATGATTTCCGTTTGAAGATGACAAAGTCTACCTTTACCCGGAGAACTTCTGACCATTACAACGATAAACGCAAGTGTATCATTGACGACGCATTGGAGATGTCAATATTTCATGATTGTAAAGTCTACGTCTTTATTGACTGTCCACACGAAGCCTTCACTTTCAAATCCGTGGAAGACCGAGTCTGGCCACCCCCGGACCAATTCCTTGTAAGTGTTGTAACGCAGGTCGATTTTATACTACCTCTCTTACAAGGGAGTCTTTTTCTAATCCTCTACTAATGAAGTTGTTTTCTTCAGGAAAAGTCTAGGCCGCGGATGACTAGGCTGCATGGTCCCGACCTAGTATGTTCAAGGCTCTCTGAGTCCGAGCGAAAGGAATTCATCCAACTGCTGCTTTTTTTCTTTGACTTGGCTTGTCGCTGGAAACTGCCCTCCCAAAGATATGCGCCAGAGGAGCAGAATTACTCCAGTGCCAGCATAGAAGGAATTAATAATCATGAGCGATATGAGGAAAGTGTCTATGGGCTTGCCGCCGAGAAGCTTGGTAGTGAAGGTACCAAACCGGTGGAGGATGAATTTGATGATATGTAAATTATTTGCGTGCTCAACCTAGCATTCCGGTAGTGACGGCGACAGATGTTTTCGCTTTGGGGATTTAAATCGAACACCATTGAGTTACACTGATGCTTAATTCTCTATCTGTAGGTGAAGGGGGAAGGGATGTATATCACATGACTTATGCATGACTCGCTGAATATATATATTTACGCCAAATCGCGCAAGTTGCGGTGCTAATTTTCTTCCTTCAAGGATTCAACAATGACTAACAACGTACCCTCCGATGCGCTCACTCTTAACACGGGGCTCATAGAGAACCCTTACTTTCTTACAATTATTGGCATTCTGCTTCTATTGTGTATTTATTGGCTGACCAAGAACATTACGCTATTTATCAACACCCGTCATTCTTGCTTGGGTTCAATGAGTCCATACCATCTTTTCCTTCGATATCTAGCCTACCCAAGGACTAGCTGGGGGGTTTGGGGTCTTGACACCTTATCACCGTTACAAGCGGTTGGACTTTTACTATATATATCTGCCAACTGCATTGTTAACCTCATCTGGACGAAGTCTGTCTCGGAAAAGGGAACTCGTGCTGCTCATCTCTCCCTTATCAATTTACTACCGCTTTACTTCTCTGGTGGTCGAGAGTTTAGTGCACGCCTTCTTGGGCTATCATTAGAAACGTATGGAATCATTCACCGCTCCACAGGCTTTGTGGCGGTCCTCCAAGCAACCGTTCACGTTATCATTTCCTATCAAAACATTGTCTTTGACATATCGAAGTCCACAGATTTTTGGGGCCTCCTGGCAAGTTAATTTACCTCTCTCACGCTTCAATCCTGTTACCTAGCCCTTTTCTTCATGCTCTTTGTCTATTCAAATCCTCTGAAGTATTACAGTACTACCCGATCCAACATCGGCTAATGAAATATTAGGGAGGGTGTATGTTTTTGTCACTCTTGTTGCTACCAATGGTAAGACGTCGAATTTACGAGTTGTTTTTAGTCACTCACTTAACATGTGCTGTCCTTGGCCTCATCTCCATCTGGCAACATCTTGGATCGTCACATAACATGTCCCGCAAATATCTTCTGGCATGCATCTGTATGTTCTCAGCTACAGGTATATTTCAGCTAGCGCGCATCCTTTATCGCAACAAAGTTCTGGGCAAGAAGACTGTCCGCCTGGCCATGAAACCTTACACTGAAGAAATTGTGCAAGCCGTACTGCATCTACCTCGCCCTTGGGTGGTACGTGCTGGGGAGAGAGTCAGTCTCGGGATACCATCTCTAGGGCTATTTTATCTGTTCCAATCTCACCCTTTCGCCATCACCTGGTGGGAAGATAATGGGGAGGGAGAAGCCAATTCGATCTTTGTGATGTTCCGGGCTCGGACTGGTTTTACTCGAAAAGCTCTGAAATATATGGAACCGGATCGCGAGTACTGGGCTTGGATCGATGGACCATTTGGGCCGTCCCCAGTCCATCATTACGGTCTCTCGAGAGAAGTAGGTGACTATGGTCATATACTGATGATCACGACCGGGATTGGGATCGCAGCACAACTTCCCTATATTAAAGAACTACTGCATAGGCGCCGCAGCGCTAGGATAATAACACAGAAGATTACCCTAGTCTGGCAACTGGATCGAACAGGTGACTGGGAGAGTGCTCGGGATTGGCTTCAAAACCTTGTCAAGCAAGACGATGGTTATGTATATACCCATTGTTCTCCCCGGATTTAGTTTCTCACCGAGAAGATTCTGACTCGGTATAGATGCTAGAAGTTATGGTTTACGATCCTTCAAGCGTGGATAACCTCCAGGAGCCCCGAAAAATTGGTCACCACGATCTAATTGCCTTCTATGGGGGTGAAGTGGAGTGGAAAAAGGTCCTCTCTGCCGAAATGCAGCGACAGTCGGGTAAACTTCTGGTGGCGGGTAAGTTTTTTTTGTTAGATTCATTTGATCAGTTACACACTGACAAACAAGGTAGTTTCGGCTAAGCACCGTATCCGGGGCTTGGTGCGGCGTTTAGTGAGAAACAACGTATGGCTTGATGTCGAGCTTTTTGAGTTGGAGTTCCAGCCTTGGCAAGAGAAAAGAGACTGGATATCGTTTTTTACACCCTAGGGGGGCAACGTTATGTTACTGCAGGGAAGGCCTATTTCAGTCGAGACTGTAACTTGATGATTAAATTACATCTTAATGTAAGCTTTTGTTGTAAATTTCGTCGTAGTACCACTGAAACCATTTGGTATTTCTATTATATGATTGATTTTCTTTGTAGTATTTTCCCCTATCTGGATGTAGTACACAAACCTTGTCCGTATTTAGAATATAATGGGCTCAGATGCTACCCTATTTTTATTTAATCTCCACTTGTTTCTATAGCCAGAATAATATAAACTGGATGCCATTTACCCCCGTGGTTAATGATAAGCTGACAGGTCGCTATCATTATATGTTATCACATAATGCCTAGCAAGGATAAGCAAGTTATGGTGAACAATAACACAAAGCGATCTAAGTGGAGATCGAAATGCCGACAACGCTTGTCTGACCATATCGGTACGAGTGGTTTGATTTATTTGATGTGCTACGCTAATACAAAGGTGTTTAAGCGGACACGCTAGGAATTTATATCAAGCCGATTAATGTTCGACTCAAGCTTGAAGGTGAAGAAGAAATGCCATATAAGTGGCATATTGAAAAGCCTGAGTTGGAGCCTATCTTTAAAAAGCAGCTGAGTAGACATTCCGTCGGTGTTTATATGCAGTTATATGTGGAAGTGGGGAGTTCGTTCTGGGCTATTCTGCCGGGTTCGAAACAGGTGTGGACTATGGTCAAAAGATATTCTAGAGATTTAATGACTCTTTTCTAGGCCTCATTGAAGCCCAGTCCCCAGGACCAAATTGAATCTTTACAGGCAGAAAATACGGCTCTTCTTGAAAGACTGAAGTTCTTTGAGGCATACGCAACAGAGATGGCTCAGGAGAAGGAGAGGCTCGAAAATGAAACATCCATCATAAAGGAGATGGCTGGAAGAAAGGATATATCGAATATCAAATTAGAGGGCGAAGTTTCAAACTTGAAGGAGACTATACAGACCTCCACGCTTCTTCTTAGCAACTATGAGCGGGAGATCCAAGAGTGGACTTCTACTGCGCAGTGCTACGAGGCTTATCGACTACAGTACATAAAGGGGTTAAACCAGGTGACGCAATTCTTGCAAGGGCTCAAGGATGGGATGGGACCACCTGGGCAATATTACACGTTGATAGGACAGAGCAAGAATAGATAATCTGGTATAAGGGCATCTTTCATCATGTGGACAAGATTGAGACTAGAGTAATATCTGGGATGCTGTATCGCTTGTACGCCTATCACAGTATTATGAAGAAGAAGACAGCACCAATCCAAATAACCTTAAGTGATAGACGCAAGGCAGGTCCTTCACTAGTTACGAGGCCTGTTGTTGCCGAGATAGGAACAGAAACTGGGGATGCAGTGGCAGTACCAGCAAATACGAAGGTTTCTTGTGGTCTCTCACTAGTAGTCGACAGAAAGACAATGGAGGTTATAAGGTCACCAAACCCATCGAATGTGGTTTTAGTGTTGCTTCGTGGAACCAAATACGATGGAGAGTGCCCACCTGCGCCTTCAGGTCTGAAACTTTCTACTGGATCCCTTTTTCCGTATTGATAACTAGTATCCCAAAGTGGCATCATATCGGACTTAGTTGGAAGGACAGAATCTCCGCCATTTAACATGCGATCTCTTGTTGGACTTGCAATGTTTGGGTAGTTGTAGGCTTGCTCGAAGATTATTCTGTGCGGTGTACTGGGGTAATGTGATGAGCAATACGTGGCCAAGCCAACGGTAATTATATCAAACATACCATGAGTGAAGCGAAACTGCACAAGAGGTTTCCAGGAAAAGTGAGATGGTATTTGAGACAGCCATCGTTTTGGGATATGTTGCTGCTAGACTTTATGCAAGAGACCTTAATTTATAGATATAATAAGTGTCAACCGTAGAATACCGCTATCTACGGATCTGGCCTAGCTGCCAAGCGATGTTCAGGTGACCTATGCTCGGTATTTACGCTACGTAGGCCCTTAAATAGGAAGAATCAGACCTTAATTTACCGTCATTTTGTGCCCTTTAGCTTTAGGCCTAGCTACTACCGAAACCTATCCTCTCTATAATATGTAATATACTAGAATGACATGTATAGTGCATATGTAACTGTATCCTAAGTCTAGACCTACCGTTAAGCACTAAATAAAAGCTCAGCAAGTCGGTGGGTCTAATGCCAGACAAAAATCGCTGTTGTAATATTACCGCTACCCCAGAGTCCATAACTATTGTGTATTTCTTTTTTGATAAAGGAAAAATATACTGAAGTAAAATGGTAATGTAAGAAAGAAAATGAAGAAGAGAACAGCCTTACCAGAGTAAGAGGTTGGGCTACTCGTATTGTTTACAGGTATCGCTGTGCATCACAAAAGATCTGATGTTAATCAGAAGGGTAGCGCGTCCACTTCATGAGGGGGGTTTTTTTTTTCAAAGGTCACTGATACTCGAATACAAATACTGAGCCAATCTGTCTTTTATCGATAGGCAAAAAGTAGCAGGGCGGACCAAAACTTATAAATACCATATCCTCTCTTCAGCTTCTAAGCCTTGCTAAACACGTTTGCTATCTTTCAAAACCATCGTTCTCAATTCAAACAATACTTTTCGAATCACAGCAACAAAATGGCTCAAAGCAACGCAGGCAATAGCGCCCCAGCAGGCACTGTGGGTGGTCCTGCACAGATTGCTCCAAGTACAGCAGTTGGAAATAATGACAATAACTTGCCTGGTGCCTGGAATCTTATTATACAGAAGGCCCAGTCCAAAGAGACCTATGTTGCCATGAAAAACGCCTTTAATGCTGGATCCGACAGCATGCAAGCCGCAACGACTTTCTTTATGGAACTAAATGAAGACATCCGGAACTACAATGTGGAGAATCAGGCAGATCGAGAAAGGGGTGTAATCCCTGAAGGTAAATACGAGGCGATGTACGATAAATGGATCGCGAAATTCGAGGCCGCCAAGTCTAATCAAGATGCGGAAGCGGCGTGGGGAACATATGATGACACATGCAAAGAGTTCTCATCGTTCAATAAGCAGCATGGTTTACCTGAGCATTGGCTTTTTAGCTCTGAACTTGTCGAACGGACCTTTGGCCCCCGGTCTACTGGCGGTGCTAGTGGCGGTACTAGTGGCGGTACTGACCCAGTAGGCATATCTAAGGAGGGCAGGTTATGGCGTGGAATTATCCATGATATGGAGAACAAGCTGTTGTTCCAGGAGATGCTATTGGAGTTGGAGAGTGTTGACTCTAATATGGAAGCCACAACAAGGTTCTTTGCCGAATTTAACCAGGAAATTCGCAGGTATAATAGGGTGGCTGATGGACATGACCACGACCAAGGTATACTCCCCGAAGACGGTTACAAGGAAATTTACGACGAGTGGATGACGGCTTTTAAAAAGGCTACGGCAGAGAATGACTCGGGTGCGATGTTGAGTGCTTTCAGTCAAGCAGCCAGCAAGTTCGAAGCTTTCAACAGACACCACAAGTTACCTGGTTGGACCATTGGGAGTCGGATTCTTGAAGACGCTCTTGGAGTTGTTGACGCACCAAAACTGGAAACAGATGAGGAGATGCTTCATAATATCGCACAGCATCCCGGAAGCGAAGCTGGCGATACCGACATAACTGAACTTGAGGAATTAGAGGAGGAAGCGAGGAATGATGCGAATTTATCTGGAGGCGAGGTGCTTTACTGGTGGAAACGGGGCGTTGGCTCCCAGGCCTTAGTGCGTTACGGCAGCGGGCGCTGTGCTACATACCGCATCCGAGCCGGCGCAAATGTGACTTATGACCAAAGCTGTGTTCCTCAGGTTCTTTCATCAGGTGCACTATCTACTGACCCGCAGTCGAAAAGCTCACGTGGCCGTGAAAAGGTTAGTGCTATTACTGAGTTTGGCACAGTCGAGGAAAAATGGAGGTATAACAGAGGCGATGTTCGCACAATTCTGGCTGTAGCATGGAAAGTTGACGACGATGACGAAGAAGGGATTGAACCACTGGACCTGCTCTGGCCAGAGGCTTACGCCGTTTATCCCTGTACCAAGGCTATAATTATGTGGAAAGATAAAGTGGTTACGCTGGAAGACCGGGCGTTCCTTCGTCGCGCCATCAAAGGGTCTAGTCTTCAAAAAGCCCAAGTTATCTACCAGAAAGCGCTGAAGCAGGAAATACGTTATCGGAGATCTGAGGGGCTACCATACCAGCATCTGCTCGACGAAAATCCGAGACGATCAATTATGAGGGATGAAGAAGCGGAAGAGCAAGAAGAGGAAGACGAGGAAGAGGAAGAGGAAGAGGATGTGGAGTTAACGAATGTCAGTGCCCTATCTAACCATGGCGGATCCGTGCGTCCTGCCAGTGCTCGTATCCCTAGTGCAAGCCGCTCTAGTATGCAGCCAGGCTTGCATCCTGGCCGTTCAGGCACTAGCCAGGTTCGGATTGTTGAGCCAACACGCCAACCTTCCGCACGGCCAGCCTCGACACGGCCAGCCTCGACACGTGGGACTCCTAGGTCCACATCAAAGAGCGTCTCAAGGGAAACGGACTCTCGAGATGGGGAGATTCGCTGGTTGCGGGAACAATTAAATATGTATGAAAGTGAAAGAAGAATCAACTATCAGCCTGCCTCAAAACGGGGAATGAGCCGAAGTTACGACCAAGTCTATGATGCCAGAGAGTCCGAAGTTTCCGAGTTCACACCACAGCCACGACGGCATCGTCGACGAGTTCAGCAAGGCCAAGTTTGGGACAACTGGAGCGGAAGATGGATTCCCACCAGGAGAGTGACCTAAAACTGCTTACTCATTGCGGCACGTTTGGTGATTTGGGTATTTTATCCCGAGCACAGCTCGAACTATAGGGAGTACCCGTTGAGTAGATGCTCAGCTGTACCTTGATACAGCAATTTCTTACATTCATTTTCGGTTTGCATTTTGGACAATTATTTTTGTCGTTCCTTCCTTCTTGTTCCTTCCAATCTACGTTTTATGTTACGCTTCTTCCGCTCCTTTTATTGAACATCTAGGCATGTATCTGGTCAGATTGTTTGCTATTTTCTATGTACTGGCTTCTTCCATTTTTTCACATGGCAAGTATGTACCTAAACCAGTAAAATCCAACTATTGTCACTCGTTTGAATATTGTACATGGGTTTACATAACGTTGCGGGACAATGACCCTGCGCCAACTAAGCAGAGGTATACTGATGGGAACCTTCCTGTTACATAGCTGCATGGTGGAATGACCTGATTTACCTAATCGAGACGATAAGAAATACAATTATAAAACAAAGAGAAATGGTTTTCACCTAGAACCGCCACTGTGGATTTATTACCGTAGCTGTCCATATGTCGAGTTAAATGTATTTTTCTCTTTCTGGGATTCATTTATATAGTCGATTTAATTTAATTTGACAGATCTAATAAGTTACCCAACAGGTAAGTCTTTCCGGAATGTGTGAAGATCAGGTGGCTAATATTACGTTCATTTTAACCTGCAAGCTATAAAAGTATGGTTCCAGCCACCCGACTAAACAGAAACACATTCTCAGGTATTGGCAATATGGAGAGCACTCGTGCTGCCCAAGTTGGCATACATTCCTTGCCGATTGAACTATTAACGATTATTGTCCAAATGGGAGAGATAAAATATTCCTTAAAGTCTCTATCGCAAGTCAACAAGGCCTTCCGTCAACTCTGTGCACCTTTATTATTTAACACCCTTCGAATCACATCTTCCACTGCAGGTCTGAGTTATCTGACCCAAGCATCACAGTCCCCGATCAGATCACTTGTGAAAACGATTCGCTATGAGGTTTCTGAACTCATTGATCCACGTAGGCTGTCTCATTGAGATTATGCATGTGGAAAGATGCTAATAGTTTCGCTTCTCTCAGTCACCCAGAATTGGGACACCTTCCGCGCCTGTATCTATCCTGTCTCTGAATATACCCGGGATCGAAAAGAGCGCTGGTCGACATTAGGGGGCCGTGATGTCTCGTACTCGACGGTATACTCCTACTTCTGCACCCGATCACAAGAACAGCATGCTATCATTCGATCTGACCATGACACGACGGTACTCTGTGCATCGCTTCCTTCTTTCCCGCATCTTAATACGATTCTGCTTCGATTTTCAAGCAACATTAAACAACCCTTTCGCTGGCTGGCAGACCGAGTGCTGCTGGATGGCCAAGTATCCTTTCCAGATCATGTAAGGAAAGTGGCCACAGCAATAAAGTCAGCTAAGGAATCCGGCATTTCTATTCAAATATTTATAATATCTGGATTCTATCCTCGATTTCTCCCAGAAAAGCTACACGAGCCGAATCTATTGAAAGATGCTCTCACTGATATTCAAGAACTACGGGTGGAAGATAGCCCCTCCCTCCTGGGGTTCTTTGCCCGTAGCCCACTACCAAGTCTTCGGCGGTTTGAGTTAGGCAGCTACTGGATGTCTGTCGCAGAACTTAAAGAGTTTGTCTACGCTCATGCCAATACACTTAGATATCTTCACCTGCAAGATATCTGGCTGCTGCGAGAGAAAGGTGAAGAGGGTTATATTGACCTATCACTAGCGACTACGGAAACGATTCTTGAGAGCATAAGGGATATTCGGCGCTCAAATATTCTCCAAGAGCTTACCATGAATAGACAGATCAATGGGATTTGCGAGATACGGGAGCTATTAAGGTAAAGAGTGGGAGGTGCTATGTATGCACTGGAGCCGCGGAATGAGAATGTGGTACTGTAATGCCAAAGTCTTAGCATTGGGGCCGCGAAATAATTGATATATGTTTGTAGGTCATATAATGGCTCATTAGTATGATGATATTGGTGTTATCTAAAATTTCATGAGGGGAAACAGAATGAAATGCTGTGGGGGACGCGGGATGGGTGTGGGGAAATAGGCATATACAAACAGTGCAAACAATCGTCAGATCTTAGACCGATTTCATGAATAACTGTATCTGAGCATTGCACTAGTATAATCCATTTATGGAAGGCGGAGTTTAGTTATTGAAAGCCTTGAGTCTAGATTTTACGTAGAAAAATAATCGGAGTCGCATTTTAGCTTATTTTTCCATGATACTCAAGTCTAGGCTGATATGCGGCATGCAGTTAGTAAGGGGTTACTTACCTTGGTAACTTACACAAGCCCACAAAGCGGGACCTCATTATGACCGCGAAGACGTTACTTACCGTAACCTAAAAGTATTGCTGTACGAAATGATCAAACTGGCTTCGGTCACCGTTCTGTTGACCTCTAGGTGGATCTTACGATCGGCAAACTACGGAGTAAATTATTTTTTATACAAACTGGAAAATTACCAAAGTTACATGATGTCACGCCTGCCGTAGATTATTATTTAGTCGCAAAAGTACCAAAATTATATATGTCCGACAGCAGAATATTAAATGACACTCATTTGCATAATTGCATGATGCAATGAAAGCTATAGCTACTATATGGTTCAGTCTAAAATTAAATCATTCTGGTTTCGTAAACAAGTATATTTGCACCCCGTAGTGAGTACACCTGAGCTGTTGTGGATTTGGTACCTCAATCTGTTTCCCATAAAGAAAAGGAAATGATGGGCATAGCTCTAGCTTCACAGACTATAGGCACTATGTGGTATATAATTTATAGACTTCAATTGAGAATTTATTGAAATTGTATGCTTAGACAGGCTCAGAGTTCTATGGGCAATGTTTTTCTAAGAGAGGTGGCCACGTCGTCGTTCTTATAGTATTCAAAGCACATAAACTGTCACCAGATAGCCCTGTACATAACGGATTAAATAACCCCCTGTCCTTGAATGGGAGTTTCGTTTCTTCTATCTAGTACACATGACCTGAAGATGCG